TTAAGAAGAAAAATTCTAAAAAAAAAAAAAAAAAAAAAAAAAAGAGAGAGAACCTAATCAAACTTGCGCAGTGATATAGCAAATCCTTGTGTTGGGGATACTGTGCCCAAATCGAAGCTTCTACCGCCTCATTCGGCAGTGTTGAAATTGCTGCTAAATCGATAATTCATTTTGCACCTTCCTTTCAAATGGTAATTAAAATAAGACAAAAACTTGAATTGTCGTGCATGGGATACTTCGATTAACCTTGTGTACGCTGCAGTTTCCTACAGTCTATATTTCGTATATTTACTTTAACTTACTTACTCACCCGACCTTTCATTTCGCTATATCAAACTCGGTCATCTCGAATCTAAATGTTCTATAGAAATTTAGCACGAAATGTGCGTCGAAATCTAATTTCTCGCACACTTTTCAACTTAAATGTGTGCAGAAAATAAGTGACCAAAAAGATCTCCCTTCTGTTTTAGAAGGTTTACCATGCATGTAGGAAACATAAAGCCTGAGATACAGAGTTTTTGAGTCGTTTGAATAGTGGCCAGCTCAACAGCTTCAAATTCTTTCGCGTCCTTTTGGGGGAGTTAGTCAACGTGTGGGTTTTTAAGACATCCAATTCAGGAATTCTTATTGATTGCAGTTGCATTTCGGAAAAATCACGAGCGACAAAAAACAGCGAAGCACAGGTTTTGGTGCTCACTTGCCCAACTGAGATAGTTTTAATTACAAGTTACTCAGCTTTTTTCGAATTCTGGTGTTTGCATAATCCTTTACAGTAATCAGATCATTGACTTATACATTCTTCGTTTCTCCGTTTCTAGTTTTATCATAAAACGGTACTTTAGTGTTAAGTCTCTTACCGTATCGCTTAGTTTCCTGGCTTTGCTGTCTTTTCGAAAACTCATGATTCCTCTGTTGATGTTTGCTTTCCGTTCCGTAATCTTATTCGAATATCATGTAAATAACCTGAAGTTATTGACGCCTTCAGTAGGTATTCAATGGTTATTCTAATTTTTCCTGGTCAAAATCCAGCCTTTCTGACGTCATTTAGTATTTGTTTTGTGTTGAACACAATAAGCAGCATACCGTTAAAATGAAAAACCTTTCTTTGAATAACGAAGCAAATTTTGCACGCCCAAAAGAGCGCTTTGTATTCTGTACTCACTGACAGCTTTTTTGTTAATTTTGCAAATAGTTGCTCAGATTGGACAGAGCCCGGAACTGTTTACACGGTAAACAAAATTCCGCTTGGAAGTTGGAAGGTCGTTATATGAAGTTTATGTCCTTAAAAAATGTAGCAGACAACTTCAAAACCATTTCAAGCCCTGCTTAAATTTATACAAAATTTATACAAGTTGTTGTCTTTTGCCATTTGAAAAACCAAAATCAACGCAATGGTTTGCTTACTTAACTCTAATTGATAATGTAATTTACCGGTTCCTTCCTGAGGAAAGGAAGTTCTTGTAGTGCGAAAGAGAATTCATTTTTCTGCTCAAATAGTGCGCTGAATTAATTCTGACATCAAAACTAAAGTGGATCAATTCACAACTGTTGCACAAGTATAATAAGTCACACATGGCAATGCTTGGTTCTCGACTCAGTGTCTTAGAAAAATCGGTGATCAAAACAAATTCAAGCTTATAACTTGAAATCAGAGAGATACTTCTGAAAGCGACATGCAACCGACGAAGAAACATTGACAATTCTGGCGACGAAGGACAGGTGGGACTTCATGGGAGGCAGGCAGGCAAAAGGGGACTGTACATAGCGGAGGTCGTGAAAGGGGAAACTTACTGGAACCTTTTCCTGTCCTGAGAAGAGGTGCATGTCCTCCCAAGAAAAAGATTAGGAATTTTCACGTTCACTGCGCTGCCCTAATCCGTTTAAAGAACTAACAACACGTGCACAAGAAACCAACAAAATTGGACAAATTGACAACCCTTACAAGATAAGGTACGCGTTATTTTGGTTACTTATCAAAGAGAAAAGATTTCGTAACAGGATAATATCGGACAGCCTTCAATGAAAGTGCGTCACCATGATGGGATTGGATGCATTCTCCAAGAATGACTAATTTTTTCAGAGTCGTTTGCGGGTTTGGTAAAATACGACAGAGTCTCTACCATAAACAAAACTACAAGGCAAGAGAATGAAGTTTATTAGAACAGGAAAAATCTACAAAACGATACCTTACAAACTTATAATAAACGCAGCAAGTCTGGCTGTTAAAGTCATCATAAAATAAACATTTAGCCCATATGAAGCTCTTCGTAAGTCTTCACCTAACAGCATCACAGTCCAACAACCACTGATAAACGTTTACTTCATCAGCTCTTTGACAAACTCTGCAAAAGATTGCAAAATACAGCGTCACTTCAGCTCACTCTAAACTTCTGGGACATGTAAAGTTCAGAAAATTTGAAAATAGCGGTTAACGCTCTTTTTCGACCAAAAAGAGAATTTCGAATAAAAAATTAACGTTGTTACATTACGTTACGTTAAGCGATGAAACGTAACGTAACGTTTTCTTTCAGGACACACTTACTGTCAAAGTTGATCCGACCATTGCGCTCCAGAAACTTCACAACTTCTTCAATTTCATCTTTGGAGATCTTGATGTCTTTGCTCTGTTGTGATACCGCCATAAGCAGCTTGAGTAGCTCATCCTTTGTGAAGTATCCTTTGTTGTCAGTGTCATACGCTTTGAAGGCTTCTCTGACTTCCTGCTCGCTGCCTTGTTTCAGCTGTTTGACCATCAGTTCTGCGAACTCCTCAAAGTCGATTTCTCCGCTACCTGCAATGAACACATGCAGATCAAATCAGGGATTTGAAAGAAGGATTTTCTTACGAGGGATATCTCCAGTCTCGACATTCCGGTCCCCCTACAGCTCCACGTTCACCCCCCCCCCCTTCTCACCCCCCTCCAACTTTGTCTATTTTACAGGATACGATTGCTCCACTTGTTTTTGCAATCTAGGAGTGCCCTGTTATTCTACACAAGCTTTTGTCGATGCAAACAGATAGAGAAAAAGAGGCCGATTAGGGCAAACCACTTGAAGGCTATATCTTACATTGCTTCTTCATAAAAACCTGTTGTCCATGCATCAATGTGTAACAACAGGTGGTTAACCCTTGTTTTGGTTTGTCACTCAGAAAAACGTGTTTTCGAGTGCTATGTGATGTACGTATCGAGACAACCGATAACAAGCTGTTCCAGCTTTTGTTTTTGCAGTTAGAAACAACAGCCCTGTCCTAAACTGCTCTATTTCTCAGGTTGAGGAGCGGAAAAGCGAAGGGAAAGGAGAAAAGAAAAGAAATTGGGAGTCCATTCTATATGGGTCAGGCAGTTACCCCACTCCCCATCCTTTCTCATTTTCCGTTAACGTACCATCCTCGTCTACCTCTGACAGCATGTCCTTCACCTCGTCCTTGGTGGCCATCATTCCCAGGTTCTTCATGACGAGTAGCAATTCATCCGTCGTGATGGTCTGGCTGTTATCCACGTCAAAGATCTTGAACGCTTCTTTGAATTCTAGAATGATAAATCGACAGGCATTGGTTGGTATGTGTGAATAACCGAGGTTGTTTTACATTCGCTTGTAAGAGTGGTAGAGTGTTGGTCGAGTGGTCACGCAAGGCATTGCGTGACAACCAAATGACGGAATGCGGTGCAGCCGGACGTGTCGCAAAACCCCTAATATGTCACAAAGTACCCGACTGTATTTGACCCAAGCTGCCACTCAATGAGAAGTGTTTTTGTGCAATGGCATTTATTTCGACAGGAATTATTTACCTAAAAAGATAACACGTACGATAATTATTACTAGGTCCGTTACTTATCGAAACGAGAATAATAATGCCCTAAACAAATGAAAATCTATTAGAAGTTAACTCAGGATCTTTAATTCGCGATCAGATCACAGATTCAAGTAGCTCTTATAAATGAATCATAAAACGAGCTCTCACCCTTCAACTGCTCTGGGGACAGTGACGCCGACTAAAGCAAATGGAAGAGAAACAAAATTAGTGTCACGCAACATAGAATTATTCAAGTGAACGTCACGCAATATACAGTTACCGTCCAAGTTATCCTGGGTTAACTGGCACTGAAAAGCGAATTCAAGAGGAATTTGACGTCATAAACAAGTGTATCCTCTTCATCGTCAAAAATACCAGCCCTGTGTATTGACATTAAAAGTTAATCTGTCCATTCTCAAGTGTTTTGGGTCTTTTGAGGTTTCCACAAATATACAGGTTAAAAAAAAATCACGGGCTTGCTAGGAACTGTGCAAAGGAAAAAACAACATTTACAGCAATAACTATTTCAGTAGTTTTTTGAAAACAGACTTGACCACTGGTAAATACCTACAGAATTTAGTGGCATAAAGAAATTATTGCGTGACTCATTCATGGCACGCGACAGACGTTATCCGCGCATAAGTAGAACATGTCTGTTTTTCTCTGGTATTACCAATTATGGATTAAATAATGACAACAGAAAATTTAAGTTTCCTTGTTGTTTGCGAATTAATGATACGAAGAAAAACTTTGCATCGAGACTTCGTCTGTGTATCATGATCGGGTACTGCCGTAAGAACCGACAAGGATCGACAAGTACGAGAATAGTAGAAAGAATGAACTTATAAAACAGATTTCGAGAGAAATCAATCGTAACAAAGAACAAACTGCTGCTAACTGCTGCCTTTCCTAACTGTCAGTCAGCGCATGTCGAGAACAAGGATTTACTGTCTGAAAATCTCTTTCTTTTGAAATCTAAAGAGAATCAGTTAGTGAGTTATAATTAGTGAGTTTTCTCTCCGTCTGATCAGAAATAGGACATTCTGAGGGACAGACATTCTTCCTCGGCCATTTCAGTTTCGATTACTCCAGCGTCTTAACTAGAGAGAAGTTATGAGTTTTCATGTTTCGTCTCAAATCCCAAGAACGGAGCTACAGCGTGTAGAATAGAGAAAATCACGGCAAGTCGTTGCATTGTTTACATTCCTTAATCGAGAACTGAACATGCATTGAGTAGTTAGCTGTTTGCTCGAACAACGAATGTTTTGCATATTCCTGACCAGTATTTTCATCTGAAAGCAGTCGATCTGCCAGGCATTTTACAGGAATCAAATATTAATCTGTAATCCACGAAAAGGGGGAAATGTACTCGAAGTACATGGGCAAAGAGAAAAATCTATTTCTGGGCGGTGGATTATCTGCGTGACGAAGATGGTGCATTGAAAATCGTCTGTTGTGAATTTGAATCCCTCTAATACCTCGAAATTAATCCACTACCTTTCCAAGGGCATTCATTGCCACGGTCTTCTACTGCTGTTGCGTGAATCTGTTCGTTTTAAGGTTTTACGCATAGGCTTTGTCAACATACAGCGTTAAATTCGACACACAACAACGGCCTAAAACTTTCAACAGAAAGTGACTCGACTCGTTTGAACGCAGAGTTCATAATTGAGTATTCAAATAAACGATTTAAGTAAAATCCACTTACCATTTTGTTGTCAGATGTTCAAATTGCTTAACACTGATCAACAAGAAATTCGCAGCGATCGCCGAGACTGTAGTGGGTGAATGCAACTCGATCTAACACTAAGAATGGTGTGGCAAACAATGAAATAACACAAATTCTCGGCCCTAATTCAGCCTTATTGTATTTCAAATGCGCGATAAATAGATAATTGTTGTGTTCACTCAACCATGTATTGTTGAACATTGTGTCTCTCTGGGGGAGAGGGCGTTCCATTATTTTGCAAATCTTTAATCCTTAGCTCATTAGACACAAAGGCCCAGAGAGAAAACAACTTTTAACGCTACCATACAACTTTTCTAACTAAAATAAAAGCGGAAAATTTATCTTCCCGTCAAATATCTCGATTATGATGTGTTGACAAAATCGTCCCTACACAGGGAGTATAACCCGACCCCCGGTACACGCCAATTACATCTCTTGTCAAAATGTTCGACATCTATGTAACGCAATTGCCGTTTACAAATCTGTTCAACAAAACTCGTCATCTATAGCGCTTTCTTTCTCCCTTAAGAGTTCAAACATTTTTAAGCGAGAATAATTTTCTTTGCATGGTTTTGTTTTGTTCAAAACTCTCCCGGAGTTTCATTTTGGAGAACATGTTTTTCGTTCTAATCGTGACTTCTCGGCGACGTTCGGATATTTAAATCACGCGTTAAAAGGCTGGTCGCTTTAATTTACCATGTATGGGCAACGAATTGGGATATATATCTTGGTTCGGGAAATCATATCCTCGAGATCTTGTTTTTCAAAATTCAAGATCGTTTTCCGTTCTTCGAATTGGCAGGTAACGATTAAACGAAACCGAGCGATCATGGGACATGAGGTACGTGGGCGAATCGCGCGCGAAATCTGCGACTCGCCAGCGAGGCACTTGTCCCGCGTGGCCTATTTTAGCCAAGTTTATTACACCAAGTTTTATACGGGAAGACTTCTCCCCAAGGTCCAACCCCTTACTCATTTGCGTACAGTTTTGTCAGAAAAGGTGCTCTCTCCGTATACCCTTTTTTATTGGAAAAAGTACCCTTTTCACATACCTACTTAATTAAGAACACTGCATCCCTTTTCTAAATTAATGAACAATATTAGAGAAGAACATCAAGCGTTACCAGAGGAGATGTTAACCAGAAAAGCAAGCATCTTATACTAAGTTTACGTTCACGTTGGACTTACATTTCAAATTTCCCGTCCCTTCATGCAATGCCTCAACTTGTGAAATCCCTACCCTTTTATATACCTGAAGCCTGAGAAAGTTACTCTTTACGGGTGCAGCCGTTCCCCGCCGGGTAGGACATTATAAAGAGTACCCCCGGACCAGGCATATTTCAGTCATTTTGTGATATTACACTCGTGATCGTGTTCCAAGTGGTTGTCAAAATCATCGGGAAAAATGTTAAATTTCAAGTCGCAGACAAGTTATTCGAAAATTCACCTAAAGCTTGAGCGAAGTCACTCCTTAGTGAGGGTCCCCTATGTATCGTTTGTAAAATAGGCCATTTCCGAGTTATCTTGTGCGTCTGTTTGAAACCAAGCTCTTGTGCAAACCCTTCATGTGAAGATGTGTTTGATATGCATGAAAATGAACCTGTAGGGAGAATACGTACTTATATGAGTGGTTTCGTTTTGACACAGAGACAAAAGGCACCTCGGAAATGACTTATTCAGTCATGTAAAAATATTGGGTCCTTTTACGTGCCACGAATAATAACCAAACTCTTTCACGTTCAAACAAGACTTCATGTGATCACTTTTCACGTATAAATAGAAAACAAAGTAAAGGAAGATCTTCAAACCTGGCATGACACAATGTCATTCAACCGGCACAGGAACAAATATTGTAAAAGTATGGCTTCATTGTATTTTATGGGCTGTGAAAGGCTGCTGCGGTATTGTCAGTGGTAAAATTGGAGTTAAGCAGCAATTAAAGCCGGATGGGTTTTAGCAGCCTATATATTATTCAGCCCTTAGCGATGACTGTCAGAACCATTTAGGATCAGGCAAGAAGCTGTCCTTTCCAGCAATCTTAATGACATCTTCAGTTGTTAAGGCGACCATTTTGCGGTTGGAAAATTTCATCTGATTGGTTGACGACTTTACAGGGAGTGCCACTTTAAATTTTAAACATTGATCACAGAAGATTCGCGGAAGCTGAACCGCCGTTCTTTCTTTCAAAATCCAGGCAAAATGAAAATACCGCTGATCGCAACTTTCCTTTTGATCTTTGCTATTTATCGCGGTAAGTGTTTACAAAACTTCACGTAACTTAAAAATGAAGGCAGCTAGATAACAGTTATAGCAGAACCAGATAAAGTATTTTGGCAGAATGAAAATGTGCACAATGCTGTTATCATTGGATGAAAGGATACTAAACAAATTTGACCTGAGACATTGCTTTAGGTTTTGGCATCAAGTAGTTCAATACTGATCTTCAGGGCTGGAAAAAACATACCCTGAAGTATTGTTATATTACAAGATGCAGTTTAGAGTATTCACTTATCTACTTATTCAACGCTTCCCGTGCCATAAATACGATAGCTCAGTAAGCTGCAGTGCTTGTCACCGCCTTTTCATAACTTGTAACTCTTTACAGGAAGACTGGAAAACAGATTACAGGATAACTCACTTCGATATAGGCACATATATCAGTTTTCAAATAAAATTCTCTGCTCACGATGTTAAATCGACGATTTTTATTTTCTCTAGCTCAAATTTGAATTTGAATTGCATTAATTGTCCCAACTTGAAATGGATTGAGTCACACGGCAAGCCGACTGAAATGTAAATTACTGGCACTAGGCACCAATTTTACCCACAAAGAATGCATTATCATACATGGACTAAAAGTAACATGATTTTTACTCCGGAGAATGGATCATTTATCAGCTGAGAGGAAAGGAAGAACTGCGTAGTACTTTTCTTTTAGAACAAGGAGGCTAAAATGATGATTTTATATAAATTAAGGAAGTGAAAAATAATACTGACGACGACTGGCGACACGCACTGCAGTAATTTGGTATACTGCAATCAGGTCCAGGACTGATAAGAGCATTTCAATACATTGCCGAGGCAGTCCGAATCTTTGAAATCGGAAGAAAGCTGGATCTGTGAGGGCAGAATTTGCCAATATTTGTAACCACAGAAAAGCCAATAGTGAGAAGTTTAATAAAAGTTTAGTAACCATAGTAATTACCTGTCTATCTGTATCATCGTGCAACAAATGTAGTGAGAACGACCTGAAGTTGTAAGTAGTTAATATTTACGAGCAGAATAACTGACTTGCTTATGATGGAATAGCCTGGAGCAACAACGAGCTCATTGGCAGCCAATAGCGGCTTAAGATTACTAAACGAAATATTAGATTATTTGTCTAGAGTCCCGCACGTGTACAAGTTTTACAAATTCTTCTTCGTTACGCACCCGGTGGTGGGACACCGGATACAACTATCCTGTTTTGGGTTACGTTCTGGTTACGTTCTGACGATGTTCTTGGATTAAAACGCTGCTGTGTGCTGTTGATGTCTCTGAAGATACCATCCATGTAAAGCCAGTAAAGGCCTATCCAAACGGGAAATGTTTAGTGACCAAACATCATCAAACGTTGTTTGGTGACCAACCATGTTACCGTTTGGCCACCTTGTTTGGTGCTGTTTGATCGTGTTTGATCGTGTTCGGTCTTGTTTGAAAAAATTTGAAGGCCATCAAACATTCCATCAAACAACTTAAAACATTTCTGTTGTTCTCGTGTTTGATGGGCGATGTTTTGTTCGTTTGGACAGCCGTACCAAACATGTTTGGCGCGCGCATGCGTTCCACGCTTGCTCAGCGGCCTGTATCCATAGTTTGATCTGTGTTTGATCAAACATGTTTTAAATGTTTGGCCACTCACTTCAACATCAGCATGTTTGGTCACCAAAAAATGTTTGATGATGTTTGGTCGCGAAACATTTACCGTTTGGACAGGCCTTAACAGAACCCAGCCTCCCTGCAGCCAGGGAGTTTCCCCGGGTTTTTGGAAGAGTGCTTTTCCCAGGCAAAAAAGCCTGTTATCACAGATCGCCCACGAATAAGTTTTCTTCAAATTTTTAGTTCAAACAATTCAAGTAAAGAAAACGGTTTTGAAATGTTTTTGTCTTCATGCCTGGCGATTAATTGGCCATCATGGGTTATGAGCCATTATACCATGCTCTACAAATGCAGTAAGCGCACGCGTGACTTTTTAGGGCGCTTTTATTTTTATTTCTGTTTAGTTTTCTATATTTTGGATCGTTTTAGATAAAGCACTTATTCCAATGTGACATAGTTATAGCCAAGTCATATCCAACGCTCGCTCGTGTAGTAATTGTTAAATACTGCGTTCTAGTTTGCAAAACTCGTTTGAAAAAAGAATCAACCATTTAGTCGATAGTACGATACTCGTGCTACAGTAGGTCAGTAACGTCTATGAATTCGTTTGCAGTGTCGAGCTTGGCATGCCATTCGTGTTCCAGCGTGAAGTCATGGGAAGATTGTATCGAGACGAAAACCAAGTGCCCTCCGACTAGCGAACAGTGCATCAAATTCCATTTCAAAGCTCGCATAGGGCAGGTGTTCTTCAAAGGCTGCGCTCAACAGCTCACATGCGACAGCACCAAGAATCCCATCTGCAAAGAAGGGGCGGGATCTGACGTCACCTGTGATATCTGGTGCTGTGACGACAACGACAACTGCAACGTAAGCTCAGCCTTACATATCAGTGGCTTCATATTGTTGTCAAGCGCCCTAGCGTCGTTGTTGGTATTTGTTCTCGTGTAGAGAGGGCGTGTTGGAAGGAGATTCCTGTTTTGACGCGAAGTTGATTTGGACGTCAAATTAACTGTATACTTGCTTGTAGATTACGATTATGTCCTTTTCTAGCATGGGAAATTTAGAGAGGATGAAAGAGGATAATACTAGTTTTTGCTTCATATCGTATCGATCTTAATTACGCCGGTGTAACACATACAGCTGTAGGGCAGCCATAATGATCTTATTATCAAAGAACCAAACTTTTAAAAAGAATTGTTTCCACGAGCAGAATTCCGTCGGGTCCAGTTTTCCCGATTGTTGGTAGAATGGTCTTCGTGTGCGCTTTCCATTCAACCTTCAAGGTTATTTATTATCTTTATTTCACCTAAAAATGCCGGTTTGAATTTCCGAAAAGCAGCATTTTTCGGAATTTCTGGAAAAGAGGACAACCCGGCTCGAGAGGTATATCCGCCCTAATTTTCGTAAACTTCTCACCAGAAATTGGAAAGCGCCCATTTAGATAATGTTATGCTCGGTTTCGTCCGCTAACTGATCACCTTTCAATATTTTCATTGTTGTATTTTCTTATTTCGAGCAAGGGTGAGTGCAAATAAAGATTGATTGAGTCAAGAATTAACGATTTGAATTTCTTTATCAAAAATAATTGTCGTCAGTTGACTGCACTTCTCTGACTAAACTCGAAATCATTGCATAATTATTCAGCAAACAGGAGTGACGTGAAATCTGTTAGTTTGAATCTCCTCATAAAGAAATGAACGAGACTGCTGGTTAGTCAAGCAGAAAATAACGTCTCATATGTAAACATTTCGAGAACTCAAACTGTGGTTTCTTTTTGAATTAACAACGCTTATTCTTTGCCTTATCTAATTGGCCGTTGGATGTGACGTAACTGAACGGTTTTCATTCAGGGCTCAATTTTGTCCGTTGCATTCATCATTTGGCTCAGGGCTTGAACTGTACTCATCGTTTGAAATCCAGGATACACAGATCTAATGAAGATGAAACTGTGGATGGATGGCGCTTGTATTCTCTACATATCTCTTCCACTTGGTAAGTGAGCATATTTTGGTCCCAGCCTAGTATTTTTAAAATACCACGGATGTCACGATCTCGATTTTGACGAAGCCCCGAAGAATTACATAGTGCACCATAGATGCTTTCGCTCCTTTTGCGCTCCTCCATTTGACCGATCTGCCAAGAAAAAAAAGCCAAGCAGCTCAGTAGTTGTCTTGTTTTGACTGCCAAGGTCCCTAACATTAGTCACTCGCTTTGTTTTGATTGCGATGCTGTCAAAAGAATCACGGTTTGCCCTACAGGGGTACCGTCAGGTCACGGTATGTTTGGCAATTGCAATCGACGTGTGTAATAACGATTTACCACGAAACTCTATGTTCATTCTGTTTAAAGTTATGAGTTTTGCTACAATCGTATCGAGCTTTGTAAACTTAGGAACTTCCACCCACGTATCAATTTCGTTTTTTTCCGTTACAAATATCATTGCGGAATGCGTACAGTTGAAAGAACCCGTTTCAATATCCACGAGTCAAAATGCCAACAAAACATTTGGTCACGAAATCGCGCTTCGTTTTTCTTTGCAAAATAGTGTCGTCTCTCTTTAGTTTTTTTGGCTTTTCTTACCCTTTTCATCTTGGTAAACATTTTGCAAGTTTTAGGGAAAGATAAAAATTGAAGTTTCCTTAAGACTTTAAGCGCGCTGTGCATCCAACCACAACAGCTGAAAAACCAGACAAAACGGTTGTTCGTTTATAACAAAGGAAAAATTTTAAATCGAACCAATTTAAGATATATCAACCGTTACATCCAAAGCTTTACATCTAGAGATAAAGGAACAATAAAACTTGACAGTTTCAACCTTAAAGGGTTAGTTTCACTACAAAGAGGGCAAGGAAGGTTTGCCCAAAAAAAAAATCCGAGAAATATCTGTTCCGGTCGGATGCATTGCAAATAGCGCTAAAAGTTCGCGTTAACTATCGGTAATAATATTAGCTTGTCTGCTCGGTTTCATTATCGGCTTTACAAAATTCGAAAATTGAACGCACTAGCTAGAATCATTCTGCTGCGAAACTGATTTCGCTTTGTCCTTTTATCTGGCTATTTTTCAGCTTTTCGCTCATCAGTTGAGGAAACTAAAATCCATACCCTATTTATAACCAAAATGGGCAAAATCGATACCCCGTTTATGACTAAAACGGTTGAAAAACCCTAGCCTTTGGGGCAGCACATGCCTACATAGCCCATGTAAGGTAGTACACCTCCCCCCCCCCCCTGGGGCGAACTTATGGTCCATATTTTTAGCAAAGTGGGTACTCCTCCCACTGATTCCTTGCCAGAAGTTTCTAGACCTTTATTTGACATTCACATTTTCCATCCTTTGAATTCCTAACCTGCTTTTACTGACAGCTTTGGCCCTTCAATGCCAGGAGTGTACGAACTTTCCGGGAAGCTCAGGATCCAGCCCGTGTGACAGTGAGCCTGGCAGCATGGCCTGCGGTCCGTACCATGATAGGTGCATGACCGTTAGGGTATCTTATCCTTTTTTGGGCTCCTTCGAGATCAGGAACTGCTCCTCTAGCATCTCGTGTGACCCGAACAGTGAATTCTACCGTAAGTTAAATTTAACTCATTGCGAAGGTTATGAAGTAAATTTTGGATCATAAGCCTTCCTCTTTCCAGAGAAAATTTTCCCCACCTCCAAATAACGAACTGTACTTGGAACCTCCAGACTAGTTCTCCTTTTAATTCAAGAAGGTCTGAATGGGTTTTGCTGGAATGTCAGTTTTCATATAATTCTTCAGCGAATTTCTCAGTGGTCATTTAAGTTTTCAGCCCATTTTTCAGCTATCGGTAAATTCTGTAGCTCTCAGACCTCAACTATCAGTTGAAAAACATGTTATTTCTCTGATGACAGTTAAACTTTTAACCAGTTTTCAGCTATCAGAACACCGTCCCGATCCTCATCTACGTCTATGGGAACAAAGAAAAGGAAACAATACAATTCTTTTATTACGAAACTCGGTATTTGTATGAATTTTTCTTATGATCGGTTGTTACGAAAATCCCTTCCAGATGTGACCAGAAGCGAGTTTTTGAACGCAAAATCCAATCAGATAATCAGTAACCCTTCCCGATTTTAAGCCCGCCAACCACTAAATGTTGCGCACCCTCTTGAAGTTGAAAATTATCCGTTTTTCTTTAAACTAGTTGCACCTTATACTAGTGATGCGGTTTTTCTTTCCAGTGTGTAACTTTGGCGGCACGTCTGACTGTTCTGTGGACTGCTGTGGGGGTGACATGTGTAATAGAATTTCTGGAGATGCATACTCTGGCCGTTCCGCAGCTTTTCTTCACAAGTTGTTTCCAGAACTGAAACGTGTGCCATAATAAATAATTTTAATTGATTGATATTTACAAGATATTGAATAATCAGTCCCAACATCGCATGCCAGAGCGCAATAAACCCTATGTTTTAAGAAGTCTCCGGCTCTGACGTCACCTTAGCCTGGGAGGAAGCTCTCTTTGGGTTGTGGGGGGTGGGGGGGGGGGAAGGGAAGGAGAGGGAGGGTTGCAAGCTCTCCTTCTCCCCTTTCCTACCTTATCTCCCAAGATAGCTTACTCATAGGCTAACGTCAACCTGTGGTACGTCATGTTGTAACGACAACAACAGCTTCAACTGCAGTGATTGTCTGGCTTTTGTTAGCGTAACAGCGCATTTCATTGTTTGTACCCTCAACGTAATAAATAAAAACACCGATTTGATGCCGATGGTTGTAGAGTTTTATCTGTTGTAGCTTTTGTCTTCGACGAAGGGACGTTAAGGGAGGGTGCCATGAAATATCGTCATTTTACCGGTCATCTTGACTCAACCTCACTGAAATATAGGTCCGCAATGTTTATACGCATGTGCCTAGCGTCCGGAAGGCTTGATACATTTTGGCAGCGCAGGGGTAAAGGAAGAGTGTTTATTGGGAACGGGATATTTTGGTACTTTTCCTGACAGAGTACTCATTTTATTTGTTTGTTTTTTTTTGGTTGGTTAGTTTTTTATCTGCAACATTTTAACTGCCCCAAAAAAACTCATTATGAACTCAAAACTACATGCCAACTATGTGCATGAGAGTGAGAGAGGAAAGAGGGGGGGGGCGAGGAATGGAGGTTGTAAGGAAGAGGAAGTGTAGGAAATTGGTTGAGGGGAAGAGAGGGATGGAAGGTTGGCTGGCTGGGTATTTTTGACTGATAAAATCCAGGGAAGGAGTCAGACCCCCTCTACGCGGTCCTTCGATTTTGCTTAATCAATCGTATGATCGGCAGAGTGAATTGGATCCACTCAGGTCTATTAACATTATGAAATAGCTAACGAGAACAACCACACCATAATGGTTTACCTCTCGTATCTGCTAGCTCAGATATGGCGGGAAGAAGTAAATTGTAACAGGCTTGGTAGTTCAATCAAGCAGAAAGAAGCAGAAAATATCTTTTCATATATGAACATATATGAATATTCAAACTGTCGGTTGTCGCTCAAATGATCGCGTCCAAAGCAACTCACTTCTCTTCGCCTTTCCTGATTGGTTGCTGAATTCAAGGACGTGACGCAACTGAATGGTTTTCATGCAGTGCTAAGCTTCGTACGTTACATTGATCAGTCACCTCAGAGG